TCATTCCACGATCCTGGTCAGTCATATGGCAAAAGAGATTTCTTTGGTTATAAATACACTGGATGGGCTGGTGAGATGGGTCTGCAGGTAAGAGAACCTGCTACCATGCCTGACGATGTGAGGTTAATCCCCTGAGCCCACAGAGTGGAAGGAGAGAGTTGGCTAGAGTTGTTCTCTAACCTCCACATGTGCTATGCCACATACAGAGTAATAAATGCTCATCAGTTCACACTAGGTTCAGAGATTATCTAAGCGATAATTACCACAAGCAAACACAATGAATCTGTGTGTGTATATACTCATGTGTGCGTGTGTGTATGTGAAGGCCAGAGGTCAGTATCAGTATCTTCCACAGTTGCTCTCTTTATCTTTTGATACATGGTTTCTCACTAAACCCAGAGCTCACTAATCCAGCTAGACTGCTAGCCAGTGAGCCCAAGGATCCTCCTGAATGCTGGGGTTCTAGACACATGTTGCCAATACATGACTTTTACATGGGTGCTGGGGGTCTGCACGCAAGCACTTTATACACTGATCCCCCTCCCCAGCCCCTACATGAGACTTTCAAAAATAGAAAGCTGAATCCTCAGAGAATAAGGGGGAATTGATATGGCCTACAGGCCTGAAGATGCTGGGCCATTTGGAAAGCTATATTTAAGAGTGCTCTTGGACTTCAAACTTTTGTGTGCTGTGACACAAAGAAGATGTCATGGCCTTTCAGCATTCTTTCCTTCCTCTCCCTAAAACATAACCCCTGTGCCACTGGGGACACCATTTTTCTGTGTCTACTGCAGACAGGCTGGCCACATGTAAGTTCCAGTTGATGAAGGATGAGGATGCTCTTGCTGAGATATGCTCCATGGAAGGAGGACACCAGAGTGGAGACAGTGATGGTTAAGCTTTGTGGCCAACCGGATTTGGAGCCACCTAGGAGACACACTTCTGAGACTGTGAGGGAGGTTCCTGAGATGTTTAACTGAGGAGAGAAGGGTCTACCTCGAATAAGGGCAACACTACTCCAGGCCTGGTGAGAGAGAGAGAGAGAGAGAGAGAGAGAGAGAGAGAGAGAGAGAGAGAGAGAGAGAGAGAAGATAGCGCAAGCCAAGCACCAGTATTCATCTCTCTGCTTCTTGACTGAATACAAGGTGACCAGCTGCCTCATGTTCCTACTGCCACAATAAGGTCCTCTCTCATTGTCATGCCTTCCCTGCCATGCCGACTGTCCCTGCAATTTCTGAGCCCAAATAAACTCTTTCTTAAGTTGCTATGTCTGTTAGTTTTGTCAACTTGACACAATCCAGAATCCCCTCTGACCATGGCTGTGGTGGTGGTATGGGGGTGGCTCTTGACTGCATTCATTGAGGTGCCCACGTGGGGGTTCTGGACTGTATAAGAGTGGATCAAGTGGGCCAGTGAGATGGCTCAGTGGGTAGAGGCATTTGCCACACAAGCTGTGAGTCACTCTGCCACCATGCAATACCAGCTATGACAGACTTGTATCCCCTGAACCCTAAGCAAAAAGAAATCCTCCCTCAAGTTACTTGTTTTTAAAAACGTTTAAAAGATTTTTTGTTGTGATTTATATATGTGTCTATCTGTGAACACGTGTGTAGGTACCCTAGGAGGCTAGAAGAAGGCATTGGATTCCCTTGATCTGGAGTTACAAGTGGTTGTGAATCAGCTGTGTGGGTGCTAGGAATAGAACCCAGGTCCTCTGAAAGGAGGCATTCTTAACCCACGAGCCACCTCTCCAGCCCCTTAAGTTACTTCTTGGTTTCTGATCATATCAACGAGAAAGTAGCTAATACAAGGAGAAAATATTTGGCCTTCCCCCCTCAAATCACCCTGCCCTCAACAACCCTGAAGAGGAAGGGTATGAACCAGTGAAGTGGGGCAGCAGGTGGAAATAGCCAGGGCTCTGGGGATCAGGGGAGCCACCCTACCAGACCTGAATGTTGCATTCAGCTTGTGAAAAGAACTAGACCTGTATCAACTCCAGTGATCCCAGGCCAACAGCAACTCTTAGCTGATCTCCAAAGTATTGCATTTCTAATCATAAAACATTCCACACACAAGTGGATGTTCACAACTTCCTGAGATTTAAAAAAAGAACAGTTGCACCTACCACCCAACATAAACAAGGCCACTGCAGTCTGCTGCTCTCCCACCTCTCCTCACCAAAGGTAAACAGCTCAAGTCTTACTGCCATTTTTAATTTAACTAATCCCTGTGATGGTCACTGCTATCAACGTAATAGAATCCAGAATCACCTGGGAGATGGGCCCCTGGACATGATGGAGGATTATTTTGTGTAAACTGAAGTAGGAAGACTTGCCCTCTGTGGGTAGCACCATTCCCTAGCTGAGATCTTGGACTGTACACATGTAGAAAGGGAGCCGAGTAGCAGTTTCCATTTGTAGTGTGTTTGCCTGCCTCCTGCTCCTACCACCATGCCTTCCTTTTGAAGCCAGAATAAACCTTTTCTCCCTTGGATTGTTTTGGTATTTTATCCCAACAAATGGAAAGAAATGAATACAATGGCTTTTGACTTTGGTCTGTTTTGAGACAGGGTCTGGCAAAGGTGTCCAGCCTTGCCTGCAGCTTGCTACATAGACCAAGCTAGCTTTGAGCTTGAAATCTTTTGCTTCAGCTTCTTGAGTGCTGGGATTCCAGGGAAGAACCAAGGCACCAGTCACATTACAGTTATAACTGAGTTATACTGCTTTACACTGTATTTAAACCTTCCATAAATCACATCACACTTTACGTATTTGGAGAGGATTTCCTTTCTTCCTCAGCATGACTATCCATCTTCATCTTCAAGGGTGCATGAAGCCATGGCTTGTTTGACATCACAGATTTAGGATTCTTACTTGGAGAAGGTGGTACTCCCTAGTCCTCCCCCAACTGATGGTTATGTGCACTGTTTCTTTTTTTTTTTTCATTTTTTTATTAAGAAAATTTCTATTCACTTTACATATCAACCACAGATCCCCCTCTTCCCTCTTCCCACACCCCAGCCTCCCCCCAAAACCCACCCCCCCATCCCCACATTTTCCAAATCAAGGTCTCCCATGGGGAGTCAGCAGAGCCTGGCACAACTCAGCTGAGGCAGGTCCAAGCCCCTCCCCCCTGCACCAAGGCTGTGGGCTCCAAAAAGCACCCTAGGCACTGGGCTCTAAAAAGCCCGCCCAATGTGCAATGTGCATTGTTTCTAATTTTGGGTTATCACCTAGCCACAGTGCACTTGTCTCCTGGTTACTTAGACAAGAGTCTCTTGGACTTTCCAGACCATGCCATTTAAAGGGAAGTACTGTTTTTACATAGCACACCGCTGGTAACTAGAGGGGGTGTAGAGTCCTCAATGAAATGGACTGATCACCAAGATGAAGCTTATCGGTACCCACAGCATGATGCAGAGATCTGAGAGTAAAAAAATAAAAGTGGAACCCCGTGTGTGGGCCTGCAGTGAAATGCCCATTGAATTGCTTATCGTAGCTGTTTCTTGAGGTGGTCTCACTATGTAGCCCAGGCTGGCCTTGAACTCTGGATCCTCCTATCTCCACTTTGAGTGCTGGGATCAGAGGCATACATCTGGCTTTAATTTTTTTTTTAATTTGTGTGTATCTGTATGGTGAATGGAGAAAGAGAGAGAGGTATATGTGTGAATGTGGGCACACATGTACCACAGTTAGAATACAGATACAGAGGTCAAGTTTCAGGAGTCTGTTCTCTGCTTTCACAATGGGTTCCAGGGATCGAACTAGAGTCACCAGGCTTTTACAGCAAGTACTTTTACCTTCTGAGCCATCTTGCCAGCCCCGGCTAATTACTGATTTCTAACTTATAATACTATAGTTTTATGTTAATACTTAGAAATAGGTTGATCCCAGTAGTTACCCGAGAACGGTGTGCATTTGCCAGTTGTTGAATAGAGGAGTCTATGATAAATGTCCATGGGATTATCGTGGCCAACCTGCTGGGGGTAGGGATGTGGTAAATCCATCCCAAGCCATCTGCTGCTGTATTAGCTGTCTCCTGGCTCTACAGGGCAAAGTTAAGTGGTTGTGACAAGAGACCATACGGCTTCCCAAAGCTGGAACTATTCACTAGTCAGCCCTTCCTAGAAAAGTTCAGCAACCATGACACTAGGTAGCCCACAGGCTTGGTGTTAATGAAACACTGATGTTAAATGTTGTGTGATCAGGGCATATTTTGAAATCTGTTCATTTTTGCTTTGCTATTTTCTGTTGGAACTAAGTGATCTGGGACAAGTATGTCATAAAGCACCCCACTTTCCTAGCATGGTCTCTCCCATCATTGATTTGGGGTCCTCTTGTCTCTTGTCACCATGCCACCTTCTTCTCCCTTGCATTTCATGTTTCCATTTCCATGTCCTCACATTTTGAGTATGTGTCTTCAATCTCAGCAGCGGCTCCCCCGCCCCATACTGACAATCTCCACTTCACTGCAGTTCCTCCCTCTGCATCCTCCCCTTCCTGCCTGCCCATCCCATACTGTCAATCTCCACTTATGGTACCCTGACTTCTGCTCCACAAAAATATCCACTTATGCAGTCTATGCCCCCACCCCAACCCCTCATCATATTCCTTCAGGTCTCATTAAACAGAGACTGGTCACCAACTCCCAAGCTCCAATCATCTTCCACCTCAGCATCCCAAGGCTGTGGTTACAGCTATGGCACCACCATGCCTCACTTCCCGTCTTCCTTTTTAAAGTCTTTTCTGAGTTGACATTTGAACCCTTTGTGTGTGAGGTCCACAGGGACTACATCCTGAGCTTTCTAATTCATAAAGTTGGAAAAGCCACTAGCCCCGCCACCTCCTTCAGAACAGTGAAGTAGTTCTGGGCCCAGGGATGCAGCTCAATGGTAGAGCATCTGCCTTGCACAACAAGGCCTTGGGTTCCATCCCCAGACCATAAAAAACTAAATATAAAAAAGAACATCTGAATTTTTACATCAGACTTAAACATTTGGCCAGTTTTAGTTCCAGGTTGTTTGGCATTTATTTTTATTGTGTTTGTAATGGAGAGAAATACATTATCTGCTTTCAAAATAGTGCTCGAAAATACAAGGAGTACAGATACCACATAACAGCAAACTCCAGGCAGGAGACACTACGCACATCACATGAAAAAATAGTCTGGTATTCACGTAATAAAAACTAGACTTCAGAAGTCCCAAGTTTCCAGCTTGGTTTAAAAAAAAAACAGATATAGTTACACAAAACATTTAATAAACAAATTTTTCCAATGTGTAAACAAAATGAGACTAAATTTGTGCCTGGCAGTTTCAGCCAGACACCGTGGCTATTTGAAATGCAGAAGCCATGTGCTTTTCACCTGACTTATCGTGCTGGTGCAAGGGCAAAGTGAACTTGCACAGGGCGAAGGTGGGACAGAGATCCGGTATTCCAGGTATCCGAACGTTTCAGTTAGTTACTGCGTAGCTTAAAAGGAAAAAGACTGTATTCCAACACTGAAAATTTATCTAGAGGGACAAAGGAGGGTAAACAATTTTGGTTTGACATGGGAGAAAATGGGCGGAACAGAAAAGAACAGAGTCTTAGAGGGATGGGAAGGGACAGACCGGGCTGCCTGGAGAACCTACTGTTCGCTGTGTCTAGATTAAGGAAGACTAAGCTATCATTCAACAACAGCCGTTGGCCCTCATGGTTCTTACAGATGGGGATTCTGCTGCTTTATTGAAAAGCAGCTTTTTCACTTAACGTATCCCTAATATTTGATAAAAGAGTAGAAAGCTGACTAGATGTCAAGTGCTTTGTGGAAATTATTTTGTTTGACTGTACACACAAAATCTGATAAATTCTGGTACTGCATTAAAAAAATAAAACATGGCTTAAAGTTTTGGGAGTAAAAATGCCTTTTTGACTACATATTTAAAGTTGGAAACTAGTTTTCTTCCAAAGCAGATATTCTGTGACACAGAAAATCTCATATCTGTGCTTATCAAGAAACCGAGATCAGCAATATGTTTCGCAGACACAACACTGACCCAAGTTTTCCTGAGAAATTAGCCATGGAGTCAGATCTGGTGTTTTTGCCACATGGCCATAGAACTTTTGGATTCACATCATGGTTTGGACATTAACACTATGGTTTTTAAGAAACAGCATGTGTGCATGCTTGATGCAGAGAAGAGGATAAAGGCAAAAGGTTTTTTGTTTGAGGTCAGATGATTAAGGACAAAAGAATGTGGAGTCTGAGAAAATACCTAGTTGCTGATTATACATTCTCCCAAACAACTCTTCAGATAAAACCCATATACCATTTCTTGATCTTGTCCCACAGAAACCAAATACTTAGTAATTATGGTTTTGATGTCAAATAGATGCCCTAGGAGTTGACATTCCATTTTAAAAGGTGCAGCCACCCCTTGGGAACTGAGATATATTAATACAAAAATAGCATGCAACTTTAAGATTAGTAAAGAAACCTTTTCAGGGAGAAAAAAACCCATGAAAATTCACCAAAGTGGAAAGTCAAAAATTAGCTCTAATCCTAATGGAAAAATTAAAAAGCCCATAAAGTGCACCACTAAAATGAGGGGTTCTGATAGTTTATATTGCTAGTTTCCCAACAATGGATCAAACATAAATCCAATACTAATGTCTGTCATAGGTAGAAATGAATACAGCTGGAAGGAATTTTTCTCTTTTCGAATAGTAGTCCTTTGAAATAATAACTGGTAGTGACATGTTAATAATCTGAGGCATGAGTAAAAGTACTTCTGGTTTTGAATGCTAATCTGGACTTCAAGATTAGGCCAGTAAAGAAAGTTACCAATCGAGTATGAATCTATTCTGAGTCATATCTGGACTGGTTCCTTTAACATCTGAAAGCAACAGGATGAATTTGCAAGAATTTGTGTGAGGGCCTTTGAGGTGGTTTCTATCCATTCAATCTGTTTTATTGAACTTTCGATAAAAGGAATAGGATCTCTAGGAAAAACAGGGAGAGCGGGCTTATCTGTTCCCAGGTGTTTCCTGAGAGGCCAACAGAGAAGCTGCTGTCTGAGTAGTGGCTGAGCTGCACTTGTCTATCTGGTTTCTTCCCTTCTGTTGGATTTCTTGTTCCTTTCTTCTTATCAGGTGAGAATGTCTTCTAGACTCCTAGTATAGGATTGGGTATGTTCGTTGCTGTATTTCCTGAAGGTCTAGATGGATGGCTTACCAGATGTGTTGAAGAAACCACTCTGGTCATTGTAGGCTTAGGTGGTGGAGAAATGGTAGGTTGTGAGGGAATTTGAGGAATGCTTTCACTCAGGGCAATCCCTGAGCTTTCTATAGGACTCACATGCTGCAAGGAAACTTCAGGAAACTGTATGTTGGTCACCGATGCTGTCATAACAGCCAGAACAGGACTGTTTCTGCCCTGAGGGTTTACAGTCAGTGGGCCTGTCTTCATAGTGCCAGTAGGTGAAGGTGCAGACATTCTGTTTTTACTGTCCACAGACAAGAGAAGGCTGCTGTCATTCACAGCTGTCAATCTTACACCTTCTGTTAAATGTGTTTCCTTTTTCTGAAGAACATGATTTGGAAGTAGCTGATGAAGTTCCTTTCTTCTTAAATGCATTGCAGCAATTTTCATATCCATCTCAAACATCTTGCTATTTATTGCTTGTCTGTAAACTGTATCTGTGAAAGACTGAATATCATAGGTGAGATCAATACTGAGAATTTCAGAATTTTCTGGCTTCTTCAACACTAACCCAATCACCCACATGGTACGAAACTCTTCCTTGTCAACATTTTCTTTTGGTGCTGGAAATGACTGGGGATTCACATGTGCCAGAGTAATGAATTCATTCTTTTCCAGGCTCCCTACCAGGATTCGGATCTTTGATTCCACCAAGCCCACCCACTCTAAATGTTGTTTCTCTGTTGGTGCACTTGCCAGAAGTACAATATAATGCTTGTATTTTTGAAAAAAGCTTGGAGCTTCAAAAAGTTTGGACCATTCTGCCTTATTCAGCAAAATTTCATGTGTGATAGCAAGCCCTTGCTTAAACTCTTCAATCATGACCATCCTTGTGGAAACAGACACATTATATGTGGAGTTCTGCTGTGGGTATGCCGGTGTAATTATAGGCATAAGATGGTACCTGTCACTGGGATTCACTCTCGGGTCCCACACAGGCAAGTTAAGATTTCGTTCTTCTGGTTCTTTTAACAACACTGGATTTGGCCATTCCCACTCAGAAAATACCAAGAAAAATTTACGTACTAGAGTGGATGCTATTGCATTTGGATAAAGCTGGCAAGTTCTTGCTACTAGCATAGCCCAGGAAACACCTCCAAGGAAACCCAAAATATTGGAATAGATATTGTGGCATTTGGCCCATAATTTGATGGCTCTCAGTGTTAACCTGAAGCTGTCAATGTTTGGTACCAGATGTAAAATTTCATCAGTTACCCGGCAACCATTAAGGCTTCTTATACACCTAATATCTAAATTTTTAAGCAGACTATCATCTCGTAGGTCCAAATCTTCCGGAATAGTCTGCAATGCTAATCTTGCGAACAAAATATCAATCTCTATCCCATCAAAACACAGTTTGATAACCGGCACAAAGGCCTCTTCAACAGCTCTCAAATCTTTTACTTCCTCCTGTAGTTTCAATTTGTCATAAAAGGAGGTGAAAAAGTCATTTCGATCCACGTGTCTTGGTGCAACGCACAACGCATCGATATCGGCACCTTTCGTGTGTACTCCTAGTCGATAAGAGCCAAACGTAAAAATTTTTCCCCCAACATTCTCAATTACAGCTTGTGGAAGATTCCTGCTTTCACTGATTTCTCGGATCCATTCCTTCACCAGATTATTTAATTTCTGCAAAATTAAAATCCTGCGCTGCAGTTCCTCTTCCTCTTCAAACACCCCGAAGGGCTGGAGGGTCTCAATCAGCTTCTGGGTGAGTTCGCGGTCTGTGTCCTTGGGGGCGGCCAGGCTGATGGGGGACGATATGCCGTACTGCTTCGGGGCGGGAGCCGGCTGTTGTGCTCCTTGGGTGGTCACCGCAAATGGCATCATCTCTAGCTCCCGCGCCGCCAGGGCACCTGCCCCGCCACCGCGACCTCGGCGGCCTCTGCTCGGCTCATGATCCGAAGGCGCGAGGGGGCGGGCTCCTGCCGGCCGGCCCGGTCGGCCCCCGCTCCGCTCCGAGCCCGCCGCCTCAAGCGCTTCCCCTGGTACCCTACCGGGCCAACATGGCGCCGGGATCCTCAGCGGTCGCGTTCCAGAACCGACGGCACACGCACGCGCCTGCGCACCGGCCGCTGCCGCTGCGGCTCTCACGAGATTGGAGGAAATTCTCGCGCTGGAGGGCTTCCGGAAGAGCCGTGCAGGCCCAGTCCCGCCCGGTAGTGAGAAGCCACTTTTTAGGTAGAATGCATGATCCTGTATCCTCAAGCAGGTTCCAGAGGATGCTCCAGCTAGACCCAGAGTGGCAGTGGCGCTCTCACCAGGCCCTGGTGTCACTGTTGGGCCAGTTTCTGGTTTCCTAGGCTCCTGCTGAGAAGTTTCTACCAAGCAACAAACTATGGCCCTTCTTCTACCAGCCACACTCAAATCTCTATCTTCAGTGTCCCGCGGTTCGGAAACTGCTGTGTATACAAGATAAACCTGCTGCTCTTACAAGGGCGAGCTGGGATTTCTGCATCAGAGTAGAAGTCCTTTTCATTTCATGGCCTCTAGAAGATTCCCATGCCTGTGCTTGGAATATGCTCTTCCCAACATTCTCTTCATTTAGATAGACGATAAACCTCCCCATTCTCCCTGTCCCCCGGATCTGTGCTTGCTTGTTCCTGGGTGATGCCTGAGTCTCACTCCAGTTGCATGCAGTCTTCAGTGTAAGCACTACTTTAGTAAAGCCCTGATTATTTCTTTTTTCTTTTTTTTCTTTTTTTTTTTTTTTTAGTTTTTTGGTTTTTCAAGACAGGGTTTCTCTGTGTAGTTTTGCGCCTTTCCTGGAACTCACTTGGTAGCCCAGACTGGCCTCGAACTCACAAAGATCCACCTGGCTCTGCCTCCCGAGTGCTGGGATTAAAGGCGTGCGCCACCACCGCCTAGCCCTGATTATTTCTTTTTGGGGTGCTGGGGATGAAACTTACGGCCTTGCACTCTACCGCTAAGCAGAGCCCTAGCTGAAGTCTTTTTTAAAATACTTACCTTTTTGTTACTCGAAGCATTATTGTTCCAGTTTCACTCCTATTACTGACAAAAAAGAACTTAGAGGTAAAGGAGTTTATTTGGTTTACAATTCCAGGTTACAGTCAGTTACAGGGAAGGCGAGAAACCTTGAAACACTAGCCACATCGCACTCACAGCCAAGAGCAGTGAGAATAAATGGACCCATGCTTGCTTGCTGTCATCCATCTTTCTCCTGTTTATACAGTTCAGGACCCCTTGCTTAGGGATAGTGATGCCCACAATGGGCTGAACCTTCCTGTATCAATGAACAATCCCCTACAAACATACCCACAAGCCAACCAGATCTAGATAATTCCTCATTAAGACTCTCTTTCCAAGGCTGGAGACAAGGCTCAGAAGGAGAGGAGGTGCCACTGCTGTGTGGCTTTTCCAGGGTATCAGACTGGTTCCCAGCTCAAAACCACCTATGACTCAGTACCTCTGGCCTCTGGGCACCTGCACACACATGCATTCACATAATGGAAACTGATAAAAGTACATTTTTTTTTTTTAAAGAATGGGACTTACTTTCTAGTTGATTCTAGGTTATGTCAAGTTGACAGTTAAATCTAATCAGCACAATTATCTTGTTCTTTTAAAAATCTATCTCTGTTTTTGGAGGTGATACTGTGTTTTCATGTTTTCTTTCTATACCACTTCTTCAAATATGGTGAGCAAGCTTTAGAATCGTATAGCTAGTAATGCTCCTGAGAATCCTCAGCAGCTGTTACTACAGGCAGCTGACATGGGTGCTCAGACTCAAACTTTTATCCTCTAGAAGAATACCATGTGCTTTTAACCACTGAGCCATTGCTCCAGCCCCAAGCTTAAGTTTCTTAGTTGTCCAAACTGACAAATGTCTCCCAGGGAAATTACAGTTTCACAATCATTTAAGATCCTGTGCTTTGCCGGGCAGTGATGGCACATGCCTTTAATCCCAGCACTCGGGAGGCAGAGCCAGGCGGGTCTCTGTGAGTTCGAGGCCAACCTGGCCTAGAGAGCAAGATCCAGGACAGGCACCAAAGCTACACGGAGAAACCCTGTCTCAAAAAAACAAAACAAAAAAAGATCCTGTGCTTTGTCTAAGAAAAGAGGCCAGTCAGTAAAGTGTTTCTGTGCAAGAAAGGGGACCTGAGCTCAATCTCTGAAACCCATATAAAAAGTGGGCACAGTGGTACACACTTGTGCTAGAGAAGGGTATCCAGGCAGATCACTGTACTGGGAGAGTAGCAGAGTCTGCTTGGTGTGCTATAGACCAATGAGGTGGACAATTCCTGAGAGCCAACACCTGAGGTTATGCCCTAGCTTCCACATGCATGCACACAAGCACTCACATACATGTACATATTCACCGACACACACCTGGACACACATTCAAAAGATCCCATGATTGATACTCTTTTCTTCGCCCTCAGAAATGTCTTTTATTTGGGGTGGGGTACTAACCTATAATTTATAGTGTTCATTCATCATTTCTAGTTTCTTCGGGGGGTGTTCGAGACAAGGATTCTCTGTGTAGTCTTGGCTGTTCTGGAACTCACTCTGTAGACCAGGCTGGCCTTGAACTCAGAGATCTGCCTGCCCCTGCCTCCTGAGTGCTGGGATTAAAGGTGTGCACCACCACTGCCCAGCCATTTATAGCTTCTTTATATATTTTCCAGAGTTAATCTAATCTTTGGTTACTTCCTTGTTGCCCAGTTCAACGAACCCTGTGATCTTCATTGTGTCCCACCTACAGAAACCTCATGTTTGGCCAACAAGGCCAACACACAACCATACTGGTTCCTATTGTCTGTACATCTCTGAACACTTTATGCCTTTCTCCGTTTGCCTTGTTGGCTTCTCTGGATGTTGGAGATCCTCCAGTATCTGCATAAGCCCTCATCCCTCCTCACTGTATAAACACTCACTACCTGCATGTTCTATCCATTTTCACAGCTTTGCTATCACCAGGCAGTCATGGTGGCTTATTCATGTAATCTCGGCATTAGAGAGGCTGAAACAGGATCATGGGATTGAGACAGCCTGGACTATATAGTGAATTCCAGGCCAGCCTGGGCTATGAGATCCTATCTATTAACAAATATCATCCACTTACATAATAACTTTTTATAGTCAGACTCTCCTAAGCATCAGGTCCATACCATACAACTCCAACTTTGCCACCACCTTTTGGATCCCTCAAACTTTGCCTTTTAAAGAGAATACTTGGGGGCATCAAAATGGTTCAGGGGTTAAAAGCACTTGCTGCTTTTAACCTAAGTGAGATTCCCAAACTCACAGTGGATTAAGAACAGATTCCTGGCCGGGCAGTGGTGGCGCACACCTTTAATCCCAGCACTTGGGAGGCAGAGGCAGGCGGATCTTTGTGAGTTTGAGGCCAGCCTGGTCTACAGAGCGAGATCCAGGAAAGGCGCAAAGCTACACAGAGAAACTCTGTCTCGAAAAAAAAAAAAAAAAAAAAAAAGAACAGATTCCTAAACGTTGTCCACTGACCTCCACATGTGTGCTATAAATAAATAATAAATAATAAATAATAAATAAATAAGAATGGTAGTCTTCCCTCATAAGCTTTTTCTCTCTGTAGTCTGTTTAGAAAATGGCATCTCCGTCTCCCCTGAACCCAGAGCTTCATTCTCAGCACCTCCTCCTTTCTCACTTTTAACACCAATTCCCTTACTAACACTGGTGATTCTACTTGCAGGAAATCCTTGGACTTCATCCACTTCTTCACCTCGTAACTGGAGTCTAAGCCACCACTGGCTCTTGTGAAACTTCCCCAGTCAACTCATTACTGACTTCTCAAAGTATTCTGGCCCCGGAGCCAGAATGGTCTTGTGCCTGCTTCGGTGGCCTCCTACTTATCTAGAGCCCACAGTAACTCTCTGGCATTGCTGGTTTCCAGACGCTGCCTGTCCAGCCTTGCTGCTTGTTTTCTCTTGTCCCTGGGTCTCTCCACAGCACTGTTCCTTTGCCCAGAATGCTCTTCCTGCCTCAACAACTGCCTACTGCTCTTCACCTGTGAGTGTGTTACCATCTTTGGCAAAGGCTGACTTAAGGTTCACCTCCTCAGAGAGAACTTCCTAAACCTATAATTAAATCATATTTCATAATGCTATATAACATTTTTTTCTGTACTAGGGCTTGAGCCTGGGTCCATACACATTCTAGGCAGATATCTTATCACTGAGCTGCACCCCTAACATGAAAACTCTTTGTAGGTTTCTTTTTGTGTGGGGGTGTGTGGGGGGGTACGCACGCACATGCCTGATTCTTTTGAGTCATAGTCTTTCTCCAAACCTGAAACTCAGTTTTCAGCTAGGCTGGCGGTCAGCCTTCCCCAGCAACCCTCCAGAGTGTCTCCACTCTACAGCACTGCGCTTACAGACATGCACAAGACGAAGGCCAGCTTGTTATGTTATTCTGGGATCTGAACTCAGATCATGGCTGTGCAGCAAGCTCTCTTAACCCGAGTCATCTCTCCAGCTTTTAGAGCTTTTATCTTCAACATTATTGTGGCTAGATTCTCAGCTACCTAAGAACCAGATCCGTTTGCTTTGTCAACTGCTCTTCATGCATCGCTACCTCGAGTGCCTGGGAGCCATTCAGTATCTGCTAGTATATGAACAAGAATGAAGCAGTTTTCTCATCCAAGTCACCTGCAAATCAGTATCCACAATAACCACCCTGTCAATGCTGCGTGAGCCTTGACTTTGATCACATTCTCCAGGAAAATGAACGGTTCCTTTTTAGATTATGTATATGTGGCAGGCTGCGAACTATCCCCAACTTCACAACTTCTTTGTGTTCTACTACAGCAGCTGGAAAGCCAAAGTATTTGATGGTCCAGTTTCTCCTGCAGCTAGAGGCAGACCTGGTACCATGCATACCTAATACGATTTGAGCACATCAGAAAAACAATCATTGAACCAACAGTCCATGGGAACTAGATGTTAACATGGTTCTGACATTACATGGAGGAATGACATAACTAAAAGGTTATTATTATTGGCAATGCTTCAAACAATTCATGGGCAATGTGGGGTCTCTATTTCTACTACCAAATTCACAGCATTGCTCTTGTGATACTTATAATAACTTCTGGACAGCGTTGGAAAAGGCTCCTTCAGCTAGGGAGGTGGCTCAGGAGACAGAGGGAATCTGGATCTCAGAACCCATGCACAAAAGCCAGACAAGCACTACCTCCTGTGATCCCAGCACTCAGGAGCCCGAGTGAGACAAGGGATTTCAGGAACAAGCTTGCTAGCAAGACTAGCTTGGTGAGCACTGGACGCAGGGAGAGGCCTTGCCTCACTGAAAGAGAGCAATCAAGAAGAGACCCAGAGTCAGCTTCACGCATCCACTTGCATGCACACCCATAAGCATGGATGCACCCACACATACATGTGAAAAAAAATACACACACACACACACACACACACACACACACACACACACACACACACACCACATGATCACATGCAGAAATAAATGAATAAACACTAAAAAGGCTGAATTTCTGTGCAGGAGGAAATAGTAAAACAACAACAAACAGGTCAGTGGGGCCAGAGAGATGGTTCTGTGGCTAAGAGCTCTGGCTACTCTTCCAGAAGACCCAAGTTTGATTCCCAGCACCCATGTGGCAGCTCACAATTATTTGTAACTCCAGCGCCAGGGAACCCGACACCCTTA